AATATCCATACGACCTTTTTGTATGAAGCTGGCAAAAGAGTGCTCCTGGAAAAAATAATACGAAAAGTGTATTTTTATTCAAATCGTCTCGAATTGCGAAAAACACAGTTATCTACCCGATACACAAAATAAAATTACGACAAGATAAAGCAGCAAGCCTATGCATTATTTTTAAAAGTGTAGTCTTAACTACAATTATGAAGCCGCTTATTCTACTCGTACAATATACATATTTTGAGTGATGATTTATTGCTTTATCAACCTTTACACTGGTAGTTTAAGACTTAAGCTACCAGGGTAAAGGTTGATAAAGCTAAGTACTTAGTACTGTCTGTAGTTGACGCGAGTATTACATATATTAAGAATTAAAAAAAAACTCATTACGCCTTAAAACGTTAACGGTACATGGTCACAGACAGACTCATAGTGGACACGGCATTGTATTTTAAACCATTAAAAGTGTTCTATTTAATCTAGTGTTTATATATTTTTTAACTATTCTTTTACTTACAGACACGGGTCTCTTGATTTGGGGGAGCCGTCGTATAAACTACATACTAATTAAAATCGATCAGTAAAACACTATCAAAGTATAAGCCTGTGAAATAAATAATTCACTGGCATATGTCCTGCATTTTATAACTATAAAACACTACAACAGGTTTATTGCCAGAACTACCTTATATTGTGGGAGACTTTTATCTCCTGGAAATCGAATTATATAACGCAAGACGCTTAGTCGGCTTAAGCCAAGATAATCCAATATTTGGGACCGATCGCAAATATTCTGAAATATTTAGATGAAAGCTGAAAGACATTTAATAATTGATTTAACTAAGAATTCAACTTTGTCAATAAAAATATCATAATATGTAATCTATGCATAATTATATTTAAATTATATTATAACAGAACTAATCTTTATCGTTAGCCTTTTAATAGTTTTCAGTACTTTAGGTAATAAAGCAAATATTGTAAAGTAAACAGTTAGCCATCTGCCAAAAGTCAGATATCTCAAGAAGTTTTCTTCACTAGAAAGCATGCGTTAGATTGTACAAAGGAGCACGACTGGAAATCAAATTCTTGACCTCTTAAACAAAAGTCAGATGCCCATACCAGTAGACCAACACAGCTCTAAAGCAGAACTAGCCCTTATAAATATTTATATAAATTCCGAGAACGATTTAATTAAGCATACAAATGGAAAACGGGAAAGGGAGTAAAAAACGGGCTCATTAAATTAAATCAAGGAAAGCTGCAGCCATCCACGAGATACCAAGACGCCAGCCACAGACTCCGCGAAGAAGCTGTTGTGCAAATATCTGTGGAATTGTTCGAGTCTGGAGAATCTTAATTACTACTCCAACTTAGCTTGACTAGCTAATACACAAATAGCTGTCTTAATATTTGAATAGCTTATCTCAAACTTATATTACTTATATATATACTTATAAAAAGTGTAAAAGCGCTTATATTTACAGGCAAGCTGTTGATCAGACTTCTCTGCCCTGCCCGACTGGAAATTGCTGGCTTGATTAATAACAAAATTTATAATAAACGAATATCCGAAGCCAAAATAGATCGACAGCACATCTTGTGTAGATGTTATATGCCTGAAGTATTTCACCTCTAGTGTACTCTACTACTACTACTCTATGTCTGTTTGTCCTCATCTATCGTAAAAAACCTCAGAAGTTACATCTAGAACTTTGACCATGACAAAAGAATAAATACATACTTTCTGCATTTTAAAATTGTAACAACGTAGTAATAATTTGTGGTAGTCCTTTATTTCCATTCGCTGAAAGTGACTTTCAAGTTAGGCGACATCTTAAAATAAAGCAGAACGTCCCAATAAAGTTGTGTTTTTTTTTTTGTCTTTTCGTAAATATCCGGGAACACAGATTTGTAAGCGGATCAACCTGGCGAGCGTCACAATATGTTGCGCTAAGCCAAGTGGAAATATTTTATTAAGGCTTTTAATGTTTTTCGTTTTATTATTCCTACTCCACGCAGCTGCTACATCATTTTCGAGTGAAACAAGTCTGTCCGCGGAAAAAGATTTCCTCTGACGTACTTATATGTTGTATTATACTAATTCGATTCTGTTTTTTGATTGTTTAATTAAATACTTTAACGATTTAAAACGCGATATATATTTGGTAAACTTAAACAGCCGTGGTCACGGGAAAACATCGGGCTGTGCTTTAAATTATTTTCAAATTTGTTTAAATGATATTTATCGCGTTTTATACCGTTAAAGTTTTTAATGTTCAGAGATTTTATATGTGCATTGTAAATAAATATAATTCAAATGTGACATTACTTTGAACCTCATAAATAATAACAGCTGTGAGTTGCACAGCCTAGTAGTAGGTACATAAATTATGACGACAAGATTCGTCTCTGACAGATGTTAGTCTGCTTACACAGTTTACACATTGCTACATCCTCAAATATGACATGAGAGTTTAATATGATGGGTGGCTAAATCAGTCGCATCAATTATTTAAAAAAAAGGATGTTGCCTGGAAAAGAAAACTACTTAGCGATGAGGCCGCCTTTTATATATAAGTTAGTTCGTAAGTTTTGATCTTTTGTAGTTTTTTTGGTATTTAATTTGAATAAAGCTATAATAAATTATTAAATAGAGAAGCTACTCTGCACAAATAAACCTTATCTTATAATTAGTATATATATTGTAAGATAGGTTAATGTTTTACTATTTTCCCAATAAACAAATAAATATTGGAGAATTATGCACATTTCCGAATTCAAAATCTATCAGTTCTTCTATCACTTATCAAAACAGGCATGTTTGTGTTGCAAATAACGCATAGATAAACATACATTATAAATTTATTGTACGCTAAATAAAGATTTATGGACCATTTATTCTGCTTTAGATTTACGTTGACACTTTAATCCTCCCTACGTTAATATATAAAATTGTGTCAGCTACCATTTGAAATAGAATCGTTACTTGAACAAACACGATTGTAGAAGTACTTTCAACAGTATTTCTCTTTTCTAATGCACTAGAGTCGATCGTACCCTACTTTTTAATTGGAGTTACGCTACGTACCAGGCTCACTTTGCCACACTATTTTTTTTAGTTTTGAAAAGTAAATTAACTACTATTTCTAGTTTTACGCGAGTAGTACACATTTAAATAAAACACTTTAACGGTTTATAACGCGATATATTAGTTAAACTTATTAGAAAATAATTTTTAACTTCAGCCCGACGTTTCGGATGCTTTGCAGCAGCCGTGGTCTCCCCGTGACCAAATAAGTTTAACTAATATATCGCGTTTTAAACCGTTAAAGTGTTTTATTTAAATAAGTAAATTAACTGTGCACAAAGTAGTACTCCCCGTGACCACGGCTACTGCAAAGCACACGAAACGTCGAGACGTAGTTAAAAAATCCCCCAAGCTTTTAACTAATATATATATCGCTTTTAAAGCTTAAAGATATTTTTTAATGTCAAAAAAACCTATTACCCTAAACTTATGTACTGTAAGTAAGTGTAGATCACTCAAGCTCTACTAAATTGAGAAAGGCCAAAACGATCTGCAAAGATTCTCTTTCAAACTTGAAATTACTGCACCGTCATTATACTATGCAAGGATTTGTATATTCTTTTACCTGCACCTTCATCATCAGCTTTAAGTCACATTATTATATTGATATCCAGATAAGCGCTCAACAAGATTCGCTGTCATGTATTTTGGCTTTGAATATCTACAAATCCACAGACTGACACACAATTAAACTTAACGGCTCTTTCATCTGTGGACGGTGGCTCGGACGTCATTTTGATATCCTTATTATTTCATACTCCGATTTCCATACGAGTTCCAACATGTTACAGAGTAGTCACGTAGCAACAATTAGATCGACGACACAAAATATACGCAACTATATCAACGTTTCAATTATATTTAGAATAAACACGTAATGTGTCGTAAGAAAAACTGTGTGTGACTAACTTCTATGAATATTTATGTTGTCGTGTTAGGGGGTAAGCCAACAACTCACTTAACGATCTGTAAGTGTTTTTGAAACTCGTCATTAGTGTGAAATATGAATTAATGACTGAAGAGCGATACTGGGGCGACTTCGGCTTATTCAAGAGCTACTAGACAGAAAAATGTATAGAGAATATATATATTGGACTACCGTATTTCTGTGACGGTAGGACAATACTTTAACGCATTACCCAATTTATAATGGTAAGAAGTGCTGGGTGCTAACTTAACCATTTTTTTTTTCAGCGGAAAATATATCTAACCCACTTCTTGTACAATAATATAAACAATCTATGATTCAGCCAAATAAATGGATTTGTTTGTGCGAATGTGTAAAACTGATTGGGCCAAAATATTTTTTTATGTAACTTTACTTTCTAAATGCGTTAAAAAGTAAACATATATATTAGATTGTTCAAGTATCCATCGTTCGAAGATGTTGGTACGTTTATCTATATCTATACTAATACATAAAGCAGAAGAGTTTGTTTGTTTGTTTGAACGCGCTAATCTCAGGAACTACGGGCACGAATTAAACAAACATGCGAACATACAGCAGGAAATGTGAAAAAAATTGGAAAAATTATCAGTGTGAGTTTCCGAGGCGTACGCTGTGAAAACGGTTCAAGATACCCAAAAAGTATGTATCAAAGAATGATTGTTATTTAATTAATCTAAAAAAAGTCCATGACGTTTTTTATTGGAGATATAAGAAATTTCCAATCAATTGTATAGTTGTTTAAGAATATTCCAATAAACTACAGCTACTTACTCTATGACAAGTTTTATAAAGCATGAGTGTTAATGATTAATACGAACCCGATAGGTCATGAGTCATTATATTCTATTTTGTTATTTGAGCCGTTATAACGCAATTCTCAGTTGAGACCTGAACGAGAAAGCGAGAAAGCATTTGAATATTGAAATTTGAAGATTTCATATTGAAAAATAAGCAAACGATTGAAAT